GCCCACGGCCCCTGTGCCCTCCACCTGCCCTGGCAGCGCCCCGGGGCCTGGCACGCGGGGGATCCCCGTCCGGCCCGAGGGCGCGGGCAGAGTGGCCCCAGCGCTGTCTGGCGGAGGGACTCTCCCGCCCGCAGGAACAGCAGGTTTAGCCGAGAGCAGAGGGTGTTCGTTTCAAGGGCCCATGGGGTGGGGTCGATCGCTAGGACTCCCCGTTTTGCCCGCTCCCAGGTTCTCCTTTGCTGCCTGCCCCCTTCCCTCACCTCAGCCTCAGCCCACCGCCCACAGTCTCTGAGCCTTTGAGGTCACCTGACCCCTCACCCTGGGGACAGAAAAGAATAGCCTGGGGAGAGCATATTGTCTGCTCCAAATCTTGCCTGATTCCAACCCCCATTTATAGAAGAAAGCCCCCCAGCTCCAGGTCAGTCCCCAGCAGAGGACGGCCCGCCGCGGGGAGGAGGGCTCTGCCTCACCCCTGCTGGTCACCCTGGCTGGAAGCCTCTTAACTCCACCGCTGGGCTCAGCAAACTTTTTCTGTAAAACGCCAGCCAGACAGCAGACATTCGGGGCGTTACGGCCCCTGCTCAGTCTCTGACTCTGCCATTGTGCTCCTGGGAGCGTGCAAGTGAATGAGTGTGCCCAGAGGCCCTTTGAATTCAAGTGATTTTCAGGTACTACAAAATGTAATTTTTTTCTAACTGTTCAAAACTCAAAACCATTCTTAGCTCGCAGACCACACAAAAGCAGGCAGGAGGCCACAGTTCAGTGACACCTGTTCTAGATGTGCCCCATACAGCCCCCCCCGACAGGGCACAAGTGACTTCAATCCAGAAGTCACACTGGATTGAAATGGATCTAGCGGAGGTTGGGGTGCAGAGGTCGCCAGCAGGTCCTTCCTGCCCTGCGCTGAGGTCATCTCTGGCTTTTTCTTCCACTGACCTCCGGGGTTTTCACACTGGGGTGCTGCTGAAGGGTTCTACAGAACCCTTCCAGAGGCAAAGGCTAGTCATTTGTCCCAAACTCCATCTGCCTCCAACCCCGTTCCCGAGAAGAGGTCTGTCTTCCTCCGAGGCCAGCCGCCGCAGCAGGGTCTGCAGCCCTCTGCATCCCCCCTAGAGCAGGTATTGGGGGAATGTGCATTTTTTTCCCCGGGGAAAACACCTGTGGCCTGGTTTCTGGAACAGGTCTGTGGCCCATAAAGAGACATTTAACTCTGTACAGCACAGACCTTCAAACTGGGCGGGGAGCGGTGGGTGCGGATCCGCAAGGGAACACAAGTTCCAAGTGATGCCGACACAGACTGACACAGACTGAGAATCGATTTCCAGGTTTCTGCAGTCCAAAATATCCTGCGGGGAGAAAGCGCCCGAAGGCAGTGGGATCTTTCTTTTCATTCGTCCTGAATCTGAACCCGAATCTGAATCCCCCGCCTCCACCCCGCGCGCCGTGGCTATAAACACATTGAAGGCAGCAAACAAAAAGACTCCCAGGGACCGATCCTTAAAGGCTGTTGTCGATTCTTCAAGGAGAACTTCAGGAAGCGTCAGCTGATGGGGTCTCAGAAAGTGTTGAGTGACAGCACCAAGTAGTCGGGGTGTGGGCAGAACTGCGAGGAGCTGAGGAGCTGAGGGACATCGCTCCAAAAAGTGCCTTCCGGTCCCCGAAGCAAAAGCACTCCCATTTTTTATGGCTCATTATTATCAATAAATACGCAAGAAGCTTATTTGAGCAGGATTTCTCAGCCCTTTGACCTACAGACCTAAATCCATGGGTGGGGGCGTCGGTGAAGTCCCATTTATCTCACTAAGAGATGCATTTCCAGCGCCAGTTTACTTTCTCCATTTCGCAATTACTTTTTGTTATGTCTATTTGAAATGTTTTAATCGATCAGGTTAATATTGATGATGATGATTACTCAGTCTATAATCCCCTTAGACGAATGGGTCACAGGAAGTAAAAAGTTGTAATTTATACCTTTTGCTCATGTTGCACAAAAAGACGTTAAGGCGATCAAGTGTAAACGTGCTCCCTGAGGGGGAAATTTTATGACAGGTAGCCATGTGGGTCCGAGGAAGAAAAGTTTGTTAAACGTCTGAGTCTTCCGGAAGGGTTTGTTCAGGTCACTAAATCACGGCATGCAGAGTCCGTTGGCCAGACGTAACAGGATGATAGAACAGTGTTATTTTAAAATGCCGATGGGTACACAAGCTGGAATATATCCTTTGCAGCTCTTTCAACTTTAAATGGATTCTTGGGTAACTTAAAACCGCACAAGGGGGAATCCGGCAGGGGCCCACAAACAACTAGTCAGCCGGTTTCTGTAAATAAAGTTTCACTGGAACACGGCCACGCCCAGCTGTTTTCCCAGTTCAAGGGCAGAGTCGAGGAGCTGTGAGATTGTCACTGCAGCCTAAGATACTTACTCTCCGTCCTCTTCAGAAAAACTGCTGATTGTCGCGGATGATGGGTTTTTCAATTAACTTATTGGTATATAACGTCACGCAGAAGAGTGCACAAGTCATTAAATGTGCATTTCGAGGAATCGCCACCATCTAAACGCAGCAAGAGGCACCGCAGAAGCCCCCTCTGTGCCCCCACGAAGGGGAGCTGCTATCTTGGCTTTGAACCCCTGCGGTTCTCGGCATTTCAAAACTAATCTGGGTACCAAAGCTGTGAGGGCTTGTTCATTTTCGCATTCCGCGTTTAACCTAGTTACCCTAAAAATGCAAATCGGCTCTCAAGCGCCTCTCGGGCTTGTCGATGCCGTTACCGTTACCGTGAGGCGCCCATGCCTAATTTATTTTTTCTTTTTGCAGAGAGGTTTCACTTTAAGTCATGGATGGTACAGGTCAGTGCCTACTTCTTCTTTCTCAAGTTTTTCATTTGTTTCCTGTTCTCAAACCATGCTGCACCAGATCTGAGAAAATGAAGGGGCTTTTCCAACCCCGCCCCCGCCCCTGGGTCTTTCCGGCTTGGGAAATGGCCAAACACCGGGAGAGTTTCTGTGAGTAGCCGCCTTCCAAACACAGGTCCTCCGCGGTGAAGTGGGCCGGCAGCCTTCCAACCCTTGGGGTTGATTTCCATATTTTGTATGCAAATCGCAGGGTGTGCCGGCTGCAAAATCAGTTAGAGAACTCTAGCCCGTGTGCTTTTGGAAAACGGTGATTTTTGCCATAAACTTGACCCAGCACCGTCTGCCGTGCCCGGCCGGTGACCCGCACTTGGCAGGTCTCTTCCCTGGGGCCTCCTGGACTGTTGGTGGACTTTCGGGGAGCTGCACGGGCTCCGTTCCGGCCACACGTCCCCGGAGGCAGGGGGTTTGGTTTGCTGTGTTATTTCCTGACGGTCACAGCCGAGACCCAGGACAGGGTCGTGCCCAGCGACACAGACCTGGCCCGAGAATCGTGGCAGAAAGAAAAGCTCCATCCTTCCTCTTAGAAAACTGTCTCCCTCGCTCTGGGAGCAGCATCGAGTTCCCGTGACTTAATGCTGCTGTGTTTTGTTTTAGCACCAAAAGACATACAACATGGCCGAGTACCACCACAGGCTGCAAACCTTTGTCAACAACCGGAGGAAGATAAATGCCCACAACGCTGGCAACCACACATTTAAAAGTACTGTGGGGGTGCCCGTGCTCGGGCTTCGTGGCCCTCGGGAGGAGGGCGCATCTATCTCCCAGCTGGGAAGACGCCCGTCGGTGGCACAGCTGACTAACGGGCTCAGGGCGGGGGGGCCCGGGTCTGAAGCTGGACTTGGCTGGCCTCAGAGTCTCCGTGGCAGTCAGGGGGCTGTGCTGGCACCCCTCTGGTGGCTGTTTGCGGGAGACCCGTGGAGGCCCCGCCCCTTCCCTGCCGTCTGAGGGTCCAGCCCAGAGGCCGAGGAGGCTCGCAGTGCTGTGGGTGCAGGGCCTTCTAGGATCATCTGCCTTCCCTCCGGGTTGGCGGCACTGGAAACGCACATACACAGCGCACGCACCGAGGCCTCCAAATGGTGGCAGTGTCGGCCAAGCGGGTGGCAATGGGCGACGGGCATGAGCTGGAAGAACCAGCTGTGCGATGCGGGGGTCACGGTCTCTGAAATGTTACTGGGCTGGAGACGATGCCCCTCACTGGGGTGTGACGAGGCCTGACCGCGGGAGTAGGTGTGCTGGTCTGCACCTGGGCGTCTATCAGACTCACCAGCGGGGTGTCTAAAATAATGGGTGCTTAGGCCCCACCCCAGACCCACTGCCCCCACACCTCTGGGGTGAGGCCCACACAAACAAACGCACTGCCGAAGAGCCCCCTCTGGAATTCTGAAGCACAGCGGGGGGCCCCTGGCATTCTGAATGGTGTGACCTCTAAATAATGCGGCCCAGGTTCCGCGGCCGTGTCGAGGACGCAGGCGAGCATGGGCTTCCGCTCGTTTTCTGTTTAACCGTCATTCCCTGAGTTTTTTTCTTTTTTTTTTTTCATTTCGGTTTTTGTTTTTCCTTCTCTTTTTCAGTGGGAATAAACCAATTCTCAGATATGACGTTTGCTGAATTAAAACAGAAGTATCTTTGGTCAGAGCCTCAGGTAGGTGTCGCTCATGTGACCGGATCTGGATCTTTTCACGCGGACTTTTGGAAGAAGCCGATGGCCCGCTCTGCGGCCAGCCAGCTTCAGCCCCGGCCCCGGCCATGGCCGCGGTGCCTCCCATTCCTTAGGGAGCCAGAGCTCGGCTTCCAGCAGCTCGTCGGCCCACACTCTTGGCCTCGGCAGTGCGGACCCTGAGTGGGGTAGTGTGCAGATGCCCAGTTCAAATCAAATTCCAGATAAATAACGCTTTGGCGTAAGTGTGTCCTAACCTCGTGTGGGATGTACTTCCACTGCAGACCTGTTCATCATTTACCTGAAACTCAGGTTTCACTGGGAGAACTGTGTGCTTACTCCCTCTGGCCGGCCTGGGCGCTCACAGGGCATCACATACAGCATCTGGACTCAATCGAGGGGGTGGGAAGGTTCCGACAGCCACAGTCTTGCCGATTCCATTTTAATGACACGTTTCTGTCAAAAAGGTTTTTTCCTCCCACTGAAAAAGTTGTATTTGTTGTGCCAGAACTGCTCGGCCACCAAAAGTAATTACCTTCGGGGCAGAGGTCCCTACCCACCCTCCGTGGACTGGCGGAAAAAGGGACATTTTGTCTCTGCAGTGAAAAATCAGGTATGTGTGACAATCGCCATCCTTTCCCCGAAAAACAGCCACGCTCTCAGACGGTATACCGAGCAGAAAAACTCACAGAACCCCAAGCCGCGGCAGGTGGGCCCCGAGCCTGTTTTGCTCATCATCTCTCCTGGGAAAGGCCAGGAGGTCATACTTCTGTGGGCTGCTCCAGTGGATAAAAAGCTGCTTCGTCATTGGGCCAAAGTGACCTGTTCACCCCACTCTCCCCGCTGCCCCCCAGAGTCCCAGTCTCTCCTGCTGAGTCCCCCAAAACATCATGTTCCCTGTGCCCCGCGGAGATTAGGCATCAGGACCCCATTTCTTCCGCCCAGGCATCTCCAGCCCCCCCGCTGCCGCTTGGCAGCTGCCTGTGGCCAGTGGCCAGGATGACACCCAGCATCTCAAGACAGGCTCTGGCCCCCAGGGGGCTGGCCTCTCAGTGGGGAGGGCCCACGTTTTCCCTCTCTCAGAACCGGGGACGGGGTTCTGGGCTGGGGTCCCAGCATATGCTCTGTTCTAGAGAGTGAGCTCTGCGGTCTGCTTTGCCCACTGCGGCCCCTCCCCTGGAAGTGACAGTGCGATGACCTCTCGACCCCAGAGAGTACAAGGCGAAGGCCTCTCTCTGGGATGCACCGGGCCTTCCCGGAACCTCTGCACCAGAAAGTCTCCCTTTTTCCGGGAGCCACGTGGCACAGCTTTAGAGGCTCCCAGGCCCGTGGGGTCCTGCGGCCGCCTAGTGGGCTGGACACTTAAGCAGCCCCCAGGAGCCAAAACAGGCGCCCCTCCCGCTGCTGGTGGGGTACACTGAGGCTGGCCTCGCATGACCCGAAAGCCGTGCTTACACCACCTGAGGACCCACGACACTTTAAAGCAACAGGGTTATGTGTTGGCCCGAACCTGCCGGCCGTTCGGGCACGTGAGGACGGGAGGTCTGCCCAGAATGTTCCAGCCCGCGGGTTAACGGTTCCCAACCGTCGGGCAGGACTGAGCCACCTGGGCCGAGGGGCTAGAACCGGGTGGTTCCTCTCACGGGCGCGTGGGGTGTCTGGCCACGGCCGCTGTGCGGTTACAGATAAAGCCACAGCAGCTTCCATTAGCTCAAACCCCTGGAGGGTTCATACTTCGCAGGAGAGGGAACTGAGGGAAGGTGGCTCGCTCAAGGTGTCACGTGAGCAGGTGACAGAGGGCACTGCAGGGCAGGACGCTGCTCCAAGTCCAGTGCTCCGGCCCTCAGCAGGCCCCCCTCCTGCTGAGGGGAGGGTGGGGAGAAAGAGCCTGGGGGCGGCCAGGATGAGGCCGGGAGGGGCACCCGAGGAGCCGCTTCAGGAGACGGTGTGGGAGGCTGACCCGCGAGGGCGGGCGCGGCCTTATCACTGCCCGAGCAGCCTGTGAGGCAAGCACCGTCCTCCCCAGTCTGCGGGTGTTGAAACAGGGCGGGAGAGGGGACTCTACTGCCAGGGCGCACGGCAAGAGTGCAGGGCTGTCACTGGACCCGGGCAGAGTCCAGTGCCCGCCCTGACCCTCGTGAGGCGCCATGGGGGCCGGGCAGCGGCAATGACGGTGGCAAAAGCTGGTGGGATGGACGGATGGGGCAGGACGGGCGTCCGGGTGTCCGGTGGGGTCATCTGGGGAAAGGACGTCTGGGCCTGGATGTAGGGTTTGGGGAGTCATTAAAGTTGGGACTGTGGGTGGAATGAAGTGAGGGGTAGGAGGGTGACAGAGAAGGTTCTAGAAACTGGACTGGTGGGTCCCGCTGGGAAATGGTGGGGAGGAGCCAGGACAGGAAGGGGAGGCGGGAAGAGCCAGAGGCCACAGGAGGACCAGGTGCCAGCTGAGCCTCAGCCGCCTCATCTGTGACGTGGGGACAAGGCTGCCAGCCTCACGACACTTGACAGGGTCCACGTGGACAGAGCTGGGTCAGAGAGACAGGGGTGCTGAGGGCGTTGACGCCCCTCGTTACTGACCCCTGACCCCTACCCAGGGTGGCTGTGGCAGCTGCTGGACCTTCTCCACCACGGGGGCCCTGGAGTCCGCGATCGCCATCAAAACGGGAAAGATGCTCTCTTTGGTAAGCGGCGGGCCACAGTGGCGGTCACCTCCTGCAGAGGCTGCGGCCTTGCCCGGAGGCCTGACCTGGGCCTCCAGGCTCCGTCAGGGCTTCAGCTAACGGTGCCCAGGCTGCCTGGGTCATGCACGGAAGGACGAGTCGGGACCTGTGTCTGATCCCTGACCCCCAGAGACAGGGCAACCCCTTCTGAGGGAAGTGCCCTGCCTGCGTCCCGTGTGGGGACAGGAGCCATGAGAGGGAGCAGGGTCCTGGTGGGGCCTGTCCCATCCGCTGCGTGCCATCGTGGGACCCACGACCACATGCACACACACGCCTAACCTACGGCACGATGCCCAGATCAGCTGGGCTGCCTGCCCAGTAGCTGCTGAGCCCCTCCCGACACATGTCCGCCGCTGGGCTGGCACCCCACACACAGAGATGTCCCTGCCCTGGGGGAGCTTATCTGTCCCCTGGACCCAGAGCTGATCGGGCCATGGGCGTGGCCTGGCGCCAGCTCTCAGCTCACGGGCTTGCGGTCGCTCCTGCAGGCGGAGCAGCAGCTGGTGGACTGTGCTCAGAACTTCAACAACCACGGCTGCAAAGGGTACGTCCCTGATGGGCCCAAAGCCCCTTCCACGTGGCTCTCACAGGACCCAGGATTGCCAGGCACTGCCCTGGGTGGGAGTAAAAGCGTCCCCATTTCATGGAGGGTGAGGTCATTTCGTGGTCCCTCAGCCACAACTGGGGAGAGCTGTAATCCACGAGATGCCATCTGCCACAGGGACACGGCCCCACCAAGGCCCCCAGCCCGCAGGCCCACCTGCCCTGGCAGCCCAGGTGGCACCTGTATGTGCTTCTTGCAGGGGTCTCCCCAGCCAGGCCTTCGAGTACATCCGCTACAACAAGGGCATCATGGGAGAGGACACCTACCCCTACCAGGGCAAGGTAAGCGGGGCGACCGGCTCTGAGCACCACCTGGTTTAGGTCCCCAAAGGCTCCTCGGCCTCGACGCGAAGCCCAGACTCTGGGCCGCCCCTGCCACCCCTGTGGCTTCCTGTCCGTCCTCCCTTCCCCTCCCAGCCCCGCGCTGGCTCCAAACACCAGGGCCCGCCCGCCTGTCTCAGAAGGGGCCGCTCTGCCTCGGCAGACTGGCCCGCCCTCCCCGGCCATGCCGGCTCCTACTCAGCTCCGTTTCTCCCAAGTTTCCTTGAGTCGGGTTCCCCAAGGCCCCCCGCTCCCCGGGCCCCTACTGAGCGCCTCGCGTGCCCCCTGGCCATGGCCAGCGCGGGACCTGCTCCCCCCACTGGGCTGTGCCGGGAAGACGGCGCCTCTCGTGCTCTGTGCCGTGACCTCGTCGCCAGGCGCTGGCACATGTAGCTTCCCTCATGTGATCGAACTGCGTGGGGACCACGGTCTCGGCCCGGCGCTAGAGCCCTCACCTGTACTCCGTGCCCCTTGCCGCCCCAAACAGGATGGCACCTGCAAGTTCCAGCCCGAGAAGGCCATCGCTTTTGTCAAGGACGTGGCCAACATCACCATTGTGAGTACTGCCCCTTCCCTGCGTTCGCGTAAGGCCAGCCTCTGCCACTGACAGGTGGCCGGTGGGCACGGCGGGGCAGGGCAGCCTTTCCCTA